AGTAGTAGTAGTAGTAGTAGTGGTAGTGGTAGTGGTAGTGGTAGTAGTAGTAGTAGTAGTGGTGGTGGTCGTCGTAGTAGTAGTAGTAGTAGTAGTGGTAGTGGTAGTGGTAGTGGCAGTGGTGGTGGTAGTAGTAGTAGTAGTCGTCGTCGTCGTCGTCGTGGTGGTGGTGGTGGTGGTGGTGGTGGTGGTTGTTGTTGTTGTAGTTGTAGTCACAACAACAACAACAGCGACGACGGCGATCAGCTGCAGCAGTATCTGCATCGGTACAGTAGCAATAGCCACGGCACAACCACCGCCACCGCCACCACCAAAGCTGCACTAGAAAGAACAACAAGCTCCACCACAACCATAAACAGTCACGAGCACAGCAGAAAACAGCGTAGCGAAGCATGTGTCCACAGCGATCTCTTGGACATGAGCGCAGCCTGTAAACTCCTGACAAGTGCTTGCAGTCACTTTGGAACTAGTTCGGTGAACCGTCCTTCTGGCTGTGGACGAGTTCTATCCCACCGTTTGCATTCATGCTGCAACCACAAGGACAGATTCCCCAGTTTCCTCAATGCATCTTGGGCCATCCAGCTTCCAAAGTTTGATCGTCCCCGAGCCCGCGGAGACTGCCTTGATTGCCGTCCACCCACGAAAGAGCCGGGCAATGCAGCACTGACAAAGTTGCTCCAGGGCGCTCTCTGCGCAGGCCAGTCGACAGCTATGGCCTGCAAGACACGCTGCAGCGCGCAAACGCACGATGGGGCCATGAGCAACGTGGCTCACAGCAGTTTCGGGGGGGGAGCATTGCTCGTGCCTGCACGGCCGATGAGGAATCGGTTTGCCAAACAATGCTCCCTGAATCCAGGGAAAACAGATGCAGGCGCACGTCGTCGTTGACAAGGACGTGCCTCAGACAAGCATGTTGTCACGTCAACATGTTTCGTCTTAAGCAGATATAGGCAGGACAGATGAACATGCAGGGAGGCTTCGAAACTCGGCATGCCATCCCGGAACTAAACATCGGACAGATTTCCAGGGTCATGTTGGGACTTCGCCCCGGTGTTTGCAAAAAGCTTCAATCTTGTTCGTACGTTCCAATATGCAGACCGCAAAAGATCACGAAGCATGAAGGCATTGCGGACGTAGAGAGTGACAACTCGTCGGGAATGCTGGGAGCTGCTGGGTGCCATGCGATGTCCAGTCGACTGACAAAGATCTGACCCCACAGTTGCCAAAACCTGCGGCTGCATTGCGGCTGCATGTGTCATATGTCATATATAAGCGTCATATACGCCCGGCCCAAGCAACTGTCTCGGCCTTGGATGTGTCTTCCAGATGCCAAGTCCCAGAGTGCCAGGGTGGTTCCAGGATTGTTTGGAATGCTGCAGCCTGTGTGCCACAGGAACAGCGAAAGCCTCTATGTTGATTGATATCTGAGGCTGCTGACATGATCCAAAGGCTGCACAGCCACTGACCGCAAGTTTTGCATTCCAACTAAACTCCACCTTGCCAGGGGCGATATCTGAGACAGTCGCAGAGCTAGACCGGTCGACTGCCTTGCATCCTGAGTCGCGGACGCATCGAAGTACTTGGGTTGATGCATCCGTGAGCACTCGGAGACACACGCCACGGTCTAGGTCCCACAGCCTGCTTCTAGGCTTCTCGCGATAACATGACTGACAGACAGATCCCCCTCAATCTGTTGGGTTTGGGATGAAAGCTGATTCTGTCAGATAGCCAAGCACAGAATGCAGCTAGGAAATTTGGAATTATGTAGGCAGCTACTTCGGCATGTCTGCGAACAAGGCAGCACGGGACGGCATTAAGATGCCCTGGGCCTCAGTGTGGAGTCGGCATGGCCGCTCAACATGACCCGAGCCGACCAGTCCTTCAGAACTTCAGCGCCAACTCTGGCGATGCTTTGCCACGTCGGGTCTGTTGTGGAAGCTCTGAGGCCCCAACAACGGACAAACAAGTGATGGTCTCGCCGACTGGCAGAAACCGGCAGCAACTGCCGCTGCGAAGATCCCAAATCAGGAGATCTCCATCAGAACCTGGGTCTGGGCTTGTAATTGCAGGCTTGTTTCCATGGAAAGTCAGTCCACTTGATCTGGTGCTGTGATGCACTCACTGCTCAAATTCTGCCGAACAACCGCCAGTCACCGCACACGGCTGCGGCGATCTGAGCAGTGTAATCCTCAGCTTTTGGGCAGCCGGCACTCCGGAACCTAGCCAATCGATGCAGATTGGCGGCTCGACTGCATGCTGCGCGCTTTACATGCTGGCACCCGACAGTTGAAACAAGCATCTCCACACAACCATCTTTCTCAAACTCAAACAGTAGGTCGGCATCCTGGAGTACCTCAGGTCAGCGCGAATCGGCCGTCAAATGACATTAACTGTCTGTTCACCAGCAAGACCTCTCGGTGCCGTGCTCGACCATTGCACACCAAGTGGACTTCGAAGTTCGGGATGCTGCGGGAGACTTCGAGTTGGCGGCGGACTGCTGCCACCTGCAGTGTCGGAGGAACATGGTGGGACGCAGTTGGTCATCGGCTCACCATCTCTGTGTGCCTCGCTCGCATCAGCTTCTAAGTCGAAGACCCCGAGCACCTGCTCAGAGTCTCTTTTTCGATTGACCCTGCCAGTCTGGCATGCACCTCTGCTTTGAGATCGCGGACGATTACTTGCAGAACGCCGCAGCTCGGCGCAGCCGAGTCCATCAAGACCGACAGCTGAGGTCATTGAGCTACCTGGAATTGAGGATACGTGAGGCCTCGACTTCCCTGTGCACACGGCTACAGAGTGCGGAGTGCGCCACTCTAAGCCTCTAAGCAAACCTTGGGGGAATAAGGACATACCCACTCGCACGCTTCAAGCAAAGCTGCGAACGTGTCATGCTGTCTGGTGATGCTGTAGGTTGCATCTGCACATGCTACAGTGCTTACAGCGATGTCGAACCGACGCCGTCATGAGTGGCGAGTGTCCTCTTTTCCTGTCTACGATCTCAGGCATAAGGCTCACTAAGGCGAAGAGGATAGCTCTTGCACCCTCTGCACAATTCAAAGGCACGCTGTACTACCCGTAGGACTCACAACTTCAGCCTGTTGGCAATTGCCTAAGGAAGTCTTGGCTGCAACTCGCTGGATGCGAATCACCGTGCGTTTCATTCTGTGGGCTCATGGCTTCGTAGGCCTCGGTAATTTGCTGAAACCTCAGCCAAGTGAATTCAAGTGAATGCAACCGCGGCCTATCGCGGTGGGCCCCAGCGGCCGAAGCGGTCGCCTCTTGGCGCCCAAGTGCTGGGCCGCCTGCCGCCTGGTTGCTTCCTCAACGTTGTCTGGATGCTTGTCTGGATGGCAGTCTCTGGCTAGCCGGCGATAGTGCCGCCTCAGGCGGTTCGGAGACGAGGGTGAGTTGATTTTGAAGAAACAGATGGGCCTGGGTTTTTGGATGTGTTTGACAAGGTGAATGAAAGGAGCGGGGTCCGTGCCAGGCCCCGCAGCACAGGCACAGTCATGCAGTCAGACGCCGGGCGGCGCATGGACAGGTAAACAAAGGTAAACGGGCACACTGTATGATGCCCAAACATGGGGTTTCCACCCAACAGCGGTTCTCTCACGGTGGCTTTCGGGCCTTATCCCGTTTAAGGCCTTAAAGCACATTCTCGTCGCGGCTCCCCCGCTCTCGCGTATACATACTAGTACTTCTCGTAGGCTGCAATGCTCCGTAGATAAATGCAGGGCTGCGCAAGGGGTGGTCGTTTGCAGATCTCAGCAGTGGAAGTCCCCGTTTCGGGACACTCCTGTAGCAGCGGGAGTAGCAAGCTCTTTGCAGAACTACGGTGTTGGGCGCTGTCAAGATGAAAGCAGGTGGGATGCCCAGAAAACTTCGCAAGCAATGGTTTTGAAAACATGCAAATGTCGATCTCAGCAAAGTCCAAGTTCTGTGACTTTGCATGTCAGCGTACAGTCGTTCTGGATCCGATGTGTGCGAAGCTGTGCTTTTATCACACATCTGAATAGGAACATCGTTCCGAGAACAAGCATGCTCCTTGGAAAGTATTCGAAGAGGACACCGGGGATTTGCATTTTAGAACGTTTTGGTTTGGAGTACGCTTTGAAAGCAAACGCTTCCCCAAGCGTTGTCGGTGTCTGCGCTGTTGATTTAGCCTGCCTCTCTGGGCCATTTGCACATGCTCCCCCACTCGACTTCGCATGACTTCGTCGCGCTTGTCCAGTTTTCTGGAGCTTCTCGACGCCTGGCTGAGGCTCTGCTGCGGCTGAGGCGCGGCGCGGTTGAATCAAGTTGAATCTTTTTCCGTCCCCGTCTTTCGCTCAATCGATCTATGTTTGCCGCGGTGCTTCGAGCGATTATTTCGAGGCTGTGCTGCTTGGTTGCATTCTCCTTGCCACTTGGACTTTGTTGAACTCCCTTGCATTCAAGCACTCTTGCTGTCTTTGTGCAGGTCACTTGCAGCTGGTCGTCGGAACATTCCTGCAGGGCTCGGTTCCACGAGTCATGCAAGGATTTCACATTTCGTGCTGTGGCGCATTCAGTCAGTTAGGTTGCTGTCTCGAAGTATGTTGTGGCCGTGGTCATTAATAAGGAATTACTGGGGTTCCTGCGTCTGTCCTGCACGACCTTATTGTTTCTTGACTACTTCTGCTGGTCTTTTCTGTCTATTTCTGTCTGAGTCTGAACACACAGGGAAGGGCCCATTCCAGGCAGTGCACCCTCTTTTCCATGGCCGTGACTCTCCCTGGTCTCTGCGGGCGCACCCCACCCCTCTGCTGCTCGCAAGAGTCGAAGGTTGCGGTCGTTCTGTCTGCGGTTGAATATCGGCGCCATTTCGGAACTCCCTTCCCATGGGTTTGCAGTCTCTTGCTCAGCGATGTTGCTGCACAAACGGGTGCAGACCGCGTGCCTGATGACTTCAGGCGGCGTGGTCTCAGCCTCGCATGAGCATTGCACACTCCAGCCTAGCCGCTGGCCTAGTGAGACTGCTCATCGCTGGGCCAATATCATGCAATCAAGTGCAAGGCTTTCAGCTGTTGAATGCCGCACGAGTTGCACCCCATATCAGTGAACAAATGTGAAAGCAGCTCAAACTGTTCTATCTTTCTGTCTGCAGTATCACGGGTTCGAAAATCAAGTGGGCAGCTGCCTGGCGTTGAGTGAGGGTGCGCCATGCCCGAAGCACGTTCAAATCTATTCTCTGGTGCATAGTCGGCGTATCAAGGGCGTTCAACACTGCCTTTCTAAGGCTGCTGATGAAGAAAGCCTTAGTTGCCGAGATCATACAGTAAGTCCAAAAAGGTCTGAACTTTTAGACTTACAGAGGGTTTCACTCTCCCAACAAGCTGACAGTTTATAAACTCAGCTGCGACGCCGCAGGTTCACACCATGCGATGTGATTTACGTTGGTGCTCTGGTGCCGCCGTAGTCACAGGTCCAGGATGGTCCAGGTGTTAGACAGCTTTCATAACTGCCAGCCGCGAGATGATGTGCTCGGATCTCATCTGACGGGCCACCCGTTCTCGCCGGCTCGGCCACCGAGCCAACTCCGCTGGTCTCTGTTGGCCTGCTTACCTGCCCCTGATACTTCGTGAGCCGGAGGCTTCGCTGGTCTTCTTCCTGACGAGCTGCCTAAGACGCTTGCGAACGCGAGGATTCAGCCAAGGAGAGGCCATCATCACTTGAGCAGCGTCGCCACCTGGCCCAGTCGAAAGGACTGTCGAAAGGCGCAGAAGAGCGACAACAAAAGCCCCGTGACAAGACTCGTGCCTCGCTCTTCTGGATCCACACTGAGCAGCTGTTGGCAGAGATCTCTTGCTTTTGGCAAAGCACGCCAAGGACTTTCGGTCCAGTCAATCCTTTCGACCTGAGACAGAAAGCAATCGAACACGTTCTTGCCCAGCATGTCTACACCCTAATGCGACCGTTGCAGCTCCTTGCTAAGAGCAGTGCTGCACGGATCACGCACTTCGCAATCTCTCGTCGCGTCGCTTCATCTACTTGGTCCAACACTCGTCCGCGAAGCACCTGCAGAGGTACGCTGCAGACTTGACTCAAGTTCTTGCTTCAACAACCACAGACCTGGTAGACTGCATCATGGAAGGGGCATGCGCAGCCGATCATCTGGAAAAGCATGACCCCAACCTCGGGGGTGCATATGGCTGGACTTTGGGACGATCCGCCTTTATTCTGGATGCATCCACGCGGCAGCAAAGAGATCACCAGCTTGAGTTGATGCACCGACATACTCCTCCGGAGCCATGTAGCCAGGAGTCCCACATATTTTAGTCTTGGAAGATCCCTCTGATGCAGTATCCAAGTCGATGATGCGCGCATGTGCCACGAGCTGGTGTCTTGTCCATGCCGTCTTGAACTGGGTCGGGCATTTCCACCTGAGCACCGATCTCTTTACAGACACCCAAGCCTGTGGATGCTTCGCGTGTTTAGAGAGCAGCTCCTGGTAGTCTTGCCACTGAAGTAAGACATTTTCAGGCTTGATGTCCCCATGAATGAAACCGTTGGCGTGCAAGTGCGCCAGCCCTCGGCACAGGCCGCGAAAGACTCGCTTGATCCACTGCTCCGTCGTGGAGGCATCGGACACAATGACTTGGAAAAGGGAGCTTCCTGCAAAAACAACATCGAACTCTGCATAATGGCATACCTCGTCTTCCAGCAGATGCTGTGGATGTACAACATTGGGATGGTGTGGCAAATGCATTAGCTTCAGTTGGTTCTCGATGATTGCATCCAGCTCCCTCTTGACAAATGCAGCTTTGTACCAAAGCTTCACTATGCAAGGTCTGCGCTCCTGAAAATCTTCACAGAAATACACCCGTCTACCACTGCCCTCATGCAGCAGCTCAAGCAGTGTGTAGTGGTCTCTGATCGTCTTCGGAGAACGGATGTGGAGAATGCCCGCATCGGCGATACTTCTCTCGACGGGTTCTGCTGGAGCTTCCTCCTCCTCAGAAGACTCGGACGACGACTCCAGAACTCCACCGGTTCTCTGCATCATTAGATTGAAAGCCCTTTGCGCTGCTTCCTTCTCCGATTCCAGAACCTCTTCTTCTTCCTCCTCCTCTTCGACTGAATAATGGAACGTGTTCTCGTGAGGGCGATTTTCAATGCCAACATCGCCATCGCCATCAAGATCCACTCCAATCTGACGCTCCAAGAAGTTGATGATCTTGACACTGGCTCTCCGGGCAGCCATCCTGCTTGCTGGATACACTCTGGGGTGGTGGAAATCCGTGCCGTAAGATTCTCAAAGGTGCTTGACTTGAAGGGTCTGAATAGGTTCTGACCCTGGCAAGGCTTGCGTGCCTGTCGAGATCGAAGCAGCAACAGAACATGAACATGAACAAACGAGTAAACACGACCGAACGCAGCATAACTTAACCCGTTGAAAAATCATACATCATACAGTGCAACCTAGCATTCCGGGGCATAGCACACATAGCTTAACATAACACCACACATTGCCTCGCAAGGTATTGCATGACATACTATTCACTACATGTTGCTGTTTTCTGCTCGAGTAATTAATGTCGTCGAGGGGGTGCGGCAGCCACGCGAAGATATGCGAAACCACATCGCGACAAAGAACCTGTGTGTACCTTGAGGTTAAGCTCTATGGAGCGCGATGCCATAATGCAGTGATTTATGCTGCTGTGTAATGTTATACGATATGATGTTATGCGGTTATGCACATTTGTGGTAAATCTACGCACATGTACATACATACATATGTACATAAATATGCAACCAGCTAAAATGTGTATTTACACATGCATACATTACATACGAATACACATACACAAGCATATAACATACATACATACATACATACCTGCCTGCCTGCCTGCCTACCTACATACATACATACGTACATACATACATACATACATGCATGCATGCATACATACGTACCTACACACCTATCTCTACACACATGCATACACACACATACAGATATGTATATATATATGTGTGTGTGGGTGTGTATGTGTGAATGTGTGTATGTATGTATGTATGTATGTATGTACGTATGTATGTATGTATGTATGTATGTATGTGTCATGTATGTATGTATCATGTATGTATGTGGGCATAAACACAAACCGGCATGTAGGTACATGTGTAGACATGCATGCATTCAGGTCTGCATACACCTGGCAGTATATTCCGATTCAATTCGTTGAAGTCCATTACCATACGTGACATGACATATGATGCTTTTCTTTCAGCTGCTTCTGCCAGCGTAGCGAGTTCCACATGAAAACTAGACTGGTCGGTGCCTGTCAGAATCTGCCGAGATCCAAGCGTCAAGGCCGTCTCACTGCGTATTTGTTCTGACTTGTGAGGTCTGCCCTGGTGGATGTCATGGCGATGCAAGCCAGCTCGACAAAGTAATAAGTAATCCATAAGCCGTGCTCTGCAAAGGGATGGGCCTACAGGTCACTCCACACGATGCCAATCAGAGGTTTCCAACAGGTCAGTTTCTTGCATGGTGCAGAAGAATGAGAGTGAAAGGATTCTGCAAGCGGCAGACGGCAACTGCAGTGAAGTTCGAGCAGAGCGACACAATGTGGATCCGCAAGCTCAAGCTCCACATGGAATCACCGCAGATTCACTTCGCAGGGTGCCGGGCTAAGTCGAGAGTCTGGAAGTGCACTTTCAGGTCCGGGTATGTCCGTGGACCTGAACAGCTTCGCGACATAACCGGTTGATAGCCGCGAGTGATTCCGCACCTTGAGGCTTTGGGATCGGCTTGGCCTCTTCGCCCTCAGCTGATCTCCCAAACCTCGGCATCTGCGACGCAGCCGCTAATGAGCTTTTCCTGCCCGCTGTGTTTCTTCTGTAGGTTTCCTGCCAGGCTGGCCTCTTGCCTCGCGGCCTGGCTAGAGATCTCTCCGAAGTTCTAAGTTCCTCGACTTCGACTCCCTTGCGCTGCGGAGTGGACCAGATGTCACCATTGCTGCCGAAGTACACCTGGGGGCAAACATGCGGCATGCGAGGAAGCCCTTGTGTAGCTCTGCATTACTGAGGGACTCTGCGTCCAGTTCTTGATCTGTCCACATTTCGGCTTCTGGAGGTAGGAGTGCCGAAAAGCCTGGATACCTCCCGAACCTTGCAGCTAGCGCAGGGTGGCGTTTGCACCAGCAGACATTGAGCTGTAGGGATGGCGCCATGTCTGTATCCTGGCACTCCATCCATCGGGAACCTCTCCAGCAAGCCTTGCTTCCGCAGCCTGGGGAGCAAGTGGCTTTGAGAAGATGCATGCCGTGATCATGTGCACTCGTGGGTTCGTAGAGCTGATCTTGTCCAAGTGGGGTCATGTACGACAGATGTCCCACCTCATTACGACAGGCGACGAGTTACGAAGAACTCGCCACGAATCTGTCAAAAAATCAGAAGAATCGAGCGGGTTGCAGTCCTTGCCTTGGCCGCCTGCACCTGTGGGGGGGGTCTTGCATAGTCCACCTTGGCGCATGACGCCCAGAGCAGCAAATTACACCAAACACCTCCAGATGCCTCAAGCCTCCAAAAATGCCATAACCGAAACGAGCTTCCGGCCCTTTTCGCACGATCTGGCATTGGTGAACTTCCAGGTTTTGGGGCTGGTCTTGATGGCGTGGCCTTGGACCTCGGTTACACAGCCATGGCTATGAACCTCAGGATCAGTTGCATGGGGAGGCTGCCGATTGCCAACCACACGCAGAGCATCATTTTGCTCGGTCCGCATGCAAGAAACAAACACCCATTTATTGTGCGATCGAGATCCATGAAGACACGGATGAAATCGCTGAGGCATTTTGAAAGGCAAAAGCTAGCCGCCAGCGCAACACCCTTCTGCTGCAAGGGGACATATTTGGTATCTTTCGAAAGGGACCCAGGCAAGCAATGCTACTCGTGAATCACCTTCTGATTGCAGCGATTCCGCTGTAGCACATGCTGCAGGGTGTGACAGAAGAAGCCTGGATGAAGCGCACAGAAATCCCGAGAACAGCATCGTCAAGCGCGCTTGAGAGACGCCAGAGTTTTGGAGCCGGAGAGTCCGGACGGTCTACACAAGCAACATGTGTAGTGATTCCCGAATCCCACGACAGTGCAGGAAATTCTGCTCTAGCAGACATCTCATGACTTCGGGTGATCGTTGTAGTGCTGTTGGGCAAGAATCAATCTCAGTCACCTGGGTTTGGTTCAGATGTCTGAGGTGGCAGCTTGGGCCTTGGTGGTGCCTGCAGTATTGCGTGAGCCCATGCCAGGTGGAATTCTGCAGGACGGTTCAATGCATTGACCGGCGAGCCTTCGAAGCGGCCTTCGGAAGCCGCGCCGGCTCAGATCTCGGCAAGACGACATTTGCGAGACTTCCTACCAGTATGTGCCTGTGTCATTCGGACAGTGTGCTTGAGAACGACTCGAAGTCCCAAGACTCTGGCCCAGGAAATGGCTTCTGTGGCGAGGCGCCTTATCGCAAGCGGATCTCAAGCCATCCGAGGATGCCGCTGGAAATCCACAAATCTCTTCCCCACACTTCTAAGTCTAAGTTCGCATCTGCTGCGTGGGGCTGCCTCAAACTTTGGCTGGACCTCAGCCGCAAATTGCACTGCTCGAGAGATAGAATTTCGGCAGCATTAGAACTTCCAGACATTTACTCTGCACTCTGCCGGAGGATGCCCAGGTTGTGTAAGATGAGAATGGGTTGGCTGTGCAAGCATGTGCAAGCATCGGCTTCGGCTTCCTCGGGTTTGGTGCGCGTGAACGCCATGTGACCTCTCTGTCCAGCTGCGACTCGCAGCTCCAGGGCTCAGCTCAGGCCAAGACTGTTAGCCGCGGTGATCGCGTGAGGCGATCGACGATGTCACCTCAAAGGCACTACGTTACTACATCGCATTAAAACGCTTCAGCAGAAATCATCTCACTCAAGCTCCGAACTCTTCTCCACACAGCCGCGAACATCCACCTGCATCCCCAAGGATGTCGAGCCAAAATGCACCGATGAGCGTGCCGCCATCGTGCTTGTGCAGCATGCCCCCTTAGTGGCTCTATAGCGGTGCACCGAGGTGTCGGCACCACGCGACCTGGCCAGCTCAAGCAGCTCCTGACGCCATGACAAAGAACCCAAACGAGTGCTTCACACTGTGGGAGGGCAGCATCAACTAACTTTTGAAGCTTGGCTTTCGCCTTCGTTGAGAACCGAAGCAGTGGATGGGACTCACCTCGAGAGGTGCACGTCATTGGTGCCTTGGCAAATTGCAAGGAACCATCTGAGCTGCGTGCCTGGTTTTGGTGTCTCAGGAATCTCAGGATCCTGAGGCACCTGTGGAGCCTGAGCTGCCTGCCGCCTGGTCGTTTCTTCCGGCTTCTCCGGCAAAGGGCACTCCGGCTTTGCATTCGAGACTTTCGAGGCTTCCATTTGTGGCACTGGCACCGTCGCGGGAGGTTCTGCCTGGTCAGCTTCAGCAACGTACTCGTGTACTTCTAGCACGTCCGTAAGGACCGCCAGGCCTCAGCCTCATCCAAGTCATCGAAATCGAACATGCTGCCACCATTGCCTCGGTGTGTGCTGCAAGGAAAGATGGCCTCGATGCGAGGCTCACGCGTTGAGCTCGCCAGCGATTGCAACGAATCTTGGGAAATTCGCGCAGCAATCGATACTTTACGACCGGAACAGGTGAGGGCGACTCCCCGAGGCGCGTTGGGGAACCAGAGCGGCACTCGCTTTTTGCGGGACAAAACGCGCCAGGGTCTGTAGAGTCGTGGCCTCGTCTGAGGTGCGCTCTTAGCTACGGGAGAGCATCGCGGTTTCAGCTGAGGTGGGCTCTACAAGCATCATGCGCTGGAAGAGCATCGCGGCTTCAGCCGAGACGCTCTACAAGCTGCAATGCGCAATGAATTCTTCCTTGCAGGAATCCGATATTCTTCGTCAGCTCGTGTGGGGCATGTCCGGGAACTTGCGCCGGCCGATCCTTCCCCGTGCCAAGCCTAGTGTCCCGGCGTGAGCTTGTTCGCCCATCGAGAATCTCTTCGGAGACCCTCTTCGACGGCCTCGTGGTGGTGATTCCCGCGCCGCACTGCGACTTCTCGCTCGCCAGGTGGAGCTGGTGCTCACGTAGAAGATCATGTATGAAAGGAGGATTCGAGCAGTTCTGCCTCGGCGTTGGCGGTCAGAAGGAGCACAGGCACGTTTCGTCTTCTCCATGCACCTTCTCTTGCCAGGTCTTGAGCTCTGCCGGCAGCTTTCCGCAGCAAAAAGCATTGGACATCGCAGTAAGATGTCACATCCACCAGGCTTTGTGAAGTCTTACTGCGATGTGGAATTATGGTTCAACGTGAAAGCCTGGCGCGATATGAAATCTTGGTGCGATGTCAGACCCTGGAGCGATGTGAAGCCGCATTGCGATGTGAAATCTTACTGCATTGTTCAATGCTCTTTGCTGCGGTGTGAGATCCTGGTGCGACGGTGCGATGCGGATGAGCGACTCTCCTGCGATGCGCAATCCTGATGCGATGTGAAGCCTCTGGTGTGATGTCAAACCCTGGTGTGATGTGAAATCCTGGCAAACCCTGGCGCAAGGTGAAATCCTAGTGCGATTCTGCTGCGATGAAAGACTGGTGTAAATGGTTGGGCCTTAAATGGCCTTAGGGTCTACGGCTTGGGATGTAATCGTTTCCCCCTAATGTTAAACGGGGGGGCCCCCCAATAGATACTCGGAAAGTGTTTTGATTCTTAGGGTTGCATTTGTATCTCTATTCTCAGATTTGGGCACAGTAGCAATTCAATCCCAAACCCTAAACATTAGTCTTTTCAGACAGACAGAGGCAGTCAAGCAGACTTTTTATCTATGAGCTGTGAGGAAGGCCGGAGAGCCAGGCTCACGCAGACAGAGCTGCAAACAGACCGAGGCAGCTCAAAAAAGACAGAGAGCTGAGCAAGGGAGGGTCACCCTAAACCTTGAACCTTTAACCCTAACCTCCTAATTCGGAATAGGTTTAAATTAAGGTTTAAAGGGCAGGGGTGATTTCTGTAGGATTGGGCCCAAAGTGTTTTTATTATTAAGGGGGGGTGTTTAACAAAAGGGGGAAGTGATGGAAGCTTAATATTTCGCGTCTTCTGCCCAAGCCGCTTCTAACGATTCCGTCTTCAGACTCTGCAAATGTGGCTGCCACAAAAGTTCGTGTCTTAAGTCGTAGGAAATACCAAGTTCGGGAGGCCCAAAGAACTCAAGTTCGCTACTGTAATTCGCGCATTGCCCTGGCGAAATTCCCGAGACTCCAAAATCGAGGCCCGCTGCGGAGTCCCAAGCCCAAGTTCGGGCCGCCCAAGCCCAGGTCGTCCTCTGTGGCCGGAGCTTCCAGAGCTGCTTCCTCAGCACTCGCGGTAGCACCTCCTGGTCCTAGGCTTCCCCGGCGCCGCTTGCGAAGCGTGCCGTCGCTTAACGGTGCCCTGGGCTCTACCAACCACCGTGATCTCGGAGGCATCTTAGGCAATGTAGGTCTAGCACCGTGGACTGCGTCAGAGAAAGGGCCTGCAGTGGTGCACAGTCTCTGACAGGCTTCCAGGGATCGTTGAAGAAACCGGCAACTCTAGCATCCGGCTTGCAGGAGATGCTGCATCTTGAAGCTCTTGCATCGCTGTCGTTTGACTGGCCGCGATGCGTCGCAACGGACCCGGCATATTCAAAGACGCCGGATTCTCTTCAGAATCCCTATCCATGACTACAGACAGAAACCAACGGGCTATGCAGAACCTCGGTCTTTGCAGCTTTGTGTTGCGACATCAAACTCTGTTGTGATGATCTTGCTGGAATAGTGCTGTCTCATGCCTTGGCCAAAGTGGCACCTACAGGAACTGCCACATCACACCAGGACTCGCAGGAACGTACACTGCAACCTCCTGTCCAGAACTCTGCTGCGATGTCAAACTAGCGACTCGGGCCCCGGAGATGCTTTGAGTACTGGCGATGTACACCCACCGGACCCTAGGCATTTTGCCGACAGGAACGCAAGAACCTCAAAGAGTCGCGAATAGCTATAGTACAGTATCAGTCAGCATCATGTCCTTTCCCTGGGGCGCCTGCAGGTGCTGCGAAAAAGCGCAAGTGATTGCATGTTTGTTTAAGTTTAAGGTTGTTTAAATCGGAACAGGTCGAGAAAGCTCTTAGGCGACTCGATACCATGTCTATGGTCGTGCCCGCTTGCCAACGTAAGCGGTTGTGCTCGAGCATGCATGCAGCTCGCAGTCCCTGTGAGCTTAGGGCTTTGTTTGACGTAATCCTATGACTTATTTTGCCTCCCTCCTGGCTAGTCCTGTGACTCAGAACGCGGCGTCTGTCTTGAAATCCCAGATCTGGTTCTTGGTCCTGTGCCGTCTCGCACATGCACATGTGACACTGGGGTTCCACATCTGCACGTCGACAAATCCATCAAGTCCTGCGAATCTTGCAGCTCGTCGGCAGTCTCAGGAGTCTCAGTCTCTGCTGGTTCCTTGCCTGGACTCGCCGCTGAAACTTCCGGACCCTGACTTGCACCCGCCAGAGTTGCATTGAAGGCTGATGTATTCTCCCGATCGGAGTCGGATGGAGTGCTGAATTCTTTTCTGGGCTCGTCAGCTGTGCTGCTGTCCCTCATTCCTCCTTCTTCGCCTGCTTCGTCTGGCACGTGAGTCGCCATGTTCTCCGTGTTCTCTGAAGATTTCGCGACAGGCGACGCTGGAGCTTCTGGATGCTCAGAGTCCGGCCTGCCCTCCAGCTCCGCAGCATCAGACTCAGGCTGCCCAGGCTTACTGGTGTCTGTGGTGCCGAACATGTGTCCCTGTAGGTCCGGAAAGAAGTCGGTGTCGGAATGCTCCTCGCAACTTCCGTCATCGGACCCGATGTTGAACATCTCGGGCTCTTGTTTGCAGCAGGCTTCGGCTTGCGCAGGACGGGGAGATGCATGTTCTGAGGGCAAAGGTTGGCTTGCCTGCGGTGGTTCTGCCTGGCTCACTGTATTCTGAGGGAAGGGGGGTTGACTGGGACTGGAAGCACTGGAAGCACTGGAAGCTGCCAGTGTGGCCGACTTCGACCTCGTGGGACGGCACCCTTTGCAATGTCTCGAAGCCGGGAGCTCTAAGTGCCTGGCAACGCCTGCTTGAGCCTTGAGATCAGAACTCCCTTTGAGTCACCGGGACCAACCTCATCAGGCGCCAGATTTCGATGCATGCACCGTCCTGCGAGACCGCTTGAAAAAACCGCCTCCACGCCCTCGGACAGGCACCTAGGCGAGTACTGTGAGTCCAGCGCTTCTGAAAGCGCGAGATCTCCGACGAATGTGGCCAACAAGGAAACGAATTGAACTATCTTTTGGACATTTCCGCCGCATGACGGTGACAAACACTTGTGATTATGCCAAATTCTGCGCGTGCCCCGAGATTCTTGCAAACCTGCAAAGCACATCACCAGCTAGCAGAGCATTGAATCCGAACAGTCTGCCATACTCTAAGTAGATATGCAACTTTCCGGCTGGCGTGCGTTTTTGACACGGCTACAGCAGAACTTACTCCGCGCAAGTGGGCAGATGACCGATGCTGCTTCATGCTCCTCAGTGGCTCCACCGTTTCGTCTGCTGCTTTGACAGGATGAAGCATCGAGAGGTACAAGACTGCACTTTCTGCGCTAGCCGCGCTTGGAACAAGGGTGCCAGTGTGCCATTTGCCTAAGGCGACGATGGATCATCTGCTGTGGTTTTGTCGAGGACTTGAGGATGAACGCCGCTCTGCAGGGGTCGGGCAGGCTTGCTGGAGGCGCACATGACGTTAGTGTGCGCCAATGGCACGAGGCCGTGAGAAAAAGGATTTCTGGAGCACTGCTATGGTGCACTGCTCCGTTTTGCTCATGACAGTCGTCACTCAAGTTTCATCATCATCAGCAGAACTGAGACTGGTTGACAGTACTTTCAGCCCACTGGCCTTGCTTCGAGCTCGGAGAGAGAAAGCCGGAAAAGTTCAGAGATGGACGCCTGCCGGGTTCCCGACCCAAGCCAAAACCGCATGCACAGTTGTCTGAGGAGCCAGCACGCGGTCGCGGAATGGCCGATTCTGCAGAATCCAACCGACCGGCCTGACATCTGCTTGGACAAAGTAAGGATAGGTAAGAAGTGCCGTATATGGCCGTATATCGAAGGCTGTTAGTCTCGCAGGTGCCTGGGGAAGGCATCGCGGAGAGGATGGACTGCTCTGCCTGGGCCGGCACCGATCCACTGAAGCCAGTGAAGCACGAGGAGTGCTTTTTGGGACACGACTCCTTTGGAGCTGACCCCTCCTGCGCTGCTCTGGCTTGCGCATGAGCTTCAAAGACTTCACACCGAGACAGGGAAGTCTGCATCCTCCTTTTCGCCGGAACGTGTAGTGCCTTCCACAGTCTCCTGACGCAGCAACTTCGATGGAGCAGTGTGGAGGCCAGATATCTCATGGTTGTTAACTCATGTTCATGAGATCGCCTGCGAAGGCTGGTGTTTCGAAGACGAGGATGGGCTTCCTGGCCTTGGACTCGCGTGTCTCAGTCAAGGGCAAGGAAACATGGGCTCGATGGGACGAGCATGGACGAGCCGTCGCTGAGGAAGGGACTCCTTGAGAGCCGATCCCTCCTGGATTGGCTCAGCTCTGGCAGTTTTGCTCAAGACCCTTGACCAGTCCTGCACGTCCATGATGATTTCCTCGACCTCCTCTTCACTTTCACCTCGTGCCGCTTCTTGCCCCTCGGGTTCCTTGCAAAGGCGCCGAGTGAATGCAGAGCCGCATGCATGGAAAGCCCTCGGGCAGTGTCAGCCGATATCTATTGGCCAAGTATGGCCGCAGGGTGGAAGCCTGCAGTGTCTACTGGTGGAAAGACTTCAGCTTTCCGGTCCTTGAAAGCATGACCCCCGAACGACTGAACATGTACCAAACAAGAAAATTTGGTGAGCAGCTTTACGTTGATGTGGGGCCGCACATGAAGATGATCCAGGACGCAGGCTTCCCGCACTCTGTAGCTGCTGTAGCTATGCTGCGAAAAAACCAGTGTGGGTGCTCGATTTGGTGATTTAGAGTGTCGAGGGGGCTCCCACAACAAGAGAGTGAGCGTCCTCTTCGAGGATAGGGTCACCCAGCGACCATGGGCAGAAATTTGTCTTGGGCGGCGTCTTGGGCCTGAAGCAATGAAGAACCTAACTTGCGAGCACTCCGAAAGGCTTCGGCTCCCCAGTCCGTGCCTTTCTGATTCTTTGAACGGAGACCTCGTGAAGCTGACGATGGGGACATGAATCAACTCTTGTGGGACATGGTTTCGCGAGAGGCGAAGCTTGGTCTGATGGCAATGCAATTGGCGGTCCGGCTGGCTCAGGCAGCGCAACCTGGAGAGGGGCTGCAGTATGAAACTATTGGATAAAGGCTGCCGCCCGATACCTGTGTCCCAAATTCCAAGCCCGCGAGCCTCGGAGTCTTCCGGCATGTCTCCAGGGCAACCAACTTCCCCTGCAAGATGCGAGGCTGCGTCGCTATGTCTTGGCTTGAAGATATCATGCAAGCTTTAGGCCACAACCTTCAGGCAAGACACGAAATTTGCTCGCCTGAGTGCAGCAGGCGTTCTCCCTGCCCTCTGTGCTGCGCTTAGCTTCGGCCGATTCCGAGGTCGCTGAGGTCCCTGCTGCCGTCTTGTAAACCTGGCGGTCAGCGTGGCTCTCGAAGGCACTTAGCTAAGTTCCTTGTTCCAATCCTAACCCACGTATAACCATGCCGAAAGCTCAATCGTCTGGTCCAGGACAGACATCAGCTTGTTGATCACCTGGCTTTTTTTTTAATCCAGAGACTGGCGCCGCGCCTTGGGTCTTGCACTTACACCGCCTCGCACTTTGCGTAGAGGCCAGATGCATCGATGCCTTCATTTTCGCACACGGACAGGATGCGCACATGCGCCAGGGTAAGTGTCCGGTAGCTGTGCCAAGCATCTGGCCCAGCAGCTTGCACTCTTTTATCAAGGTTCTCATTGGCACTACCTGCAGGTGGTTGGTGCTGGTCGCTCGGCAAGGTCAAGCACAGGTCAAGGCTCCTGCCTCCAGCGCATATCCTGGAAACAGGGCAGAATCGATAGAGTCACTGTCGTGGGATGGCTTGTGGACCCGACTCTTCAGGCCGGTCTAATATGTGCGAGGTGGCAATGAGTCACGGCTTGGCATCTCGCTTTTTTTCATACACTGGCTGGCCTATTGGCCAAGCAGTTTGCGATCTGTGCTATAGCTGAGCAAAAATGCGAAGCTCACCTCGTAGAAAGTTACCACCAGGCCATAAGTTATCAGTCGGGTGATCGCATTTTTGTGTCGCCCACTTGGCACGCCACCGGCAGCACTGTCTGGTCAACCCCCAACGCTAAGAAGAGACCGAAATAAGCTCAATCAACTCTTCGAGGGAAGATCCGCTACTCCCGTCAACGGTGTTGTGACGAGATGCACTGGTGTCTCACATGCCTGCAAAAGCTAAGGGAGCCTCCGCATCCAATTGCAAAGACACCAGAAGTGTGATAACTGGTTCCCATACTCTGTGCCACAAGACCCTGTCGGTAGCGAGTTCAGGCTTCGCTAAACCTTTTGTAGAAGCTGCGCTCATTGCCTCCCCCACCCGCGTACATACACACCAAAACAAGGATTCCAACAACCATTTCAGAGCCCTGGAGTACCCTGCCTTGCACTTCTGCCTCTCTATGCACGTGGTTCTTAGCATCCGCGTTGTAGCAGGGTTCTCCAACTAGGTTCATGTCTCTAGGATCCTTGACTTGCCAGGTGCTCTGTATTCGCTGCTGCTTGTGCGGCTCATCGCTCTGCTCATTCTGCCCATTCTGCTCCGGCTCTCTTTGCCGCTTCTGGAGCTCGTCTCTGTCTCTGAGAGATCCTTGCTGCTCTGCTTCTTCTTCCTCTGCCTTCGGCTCCTGTCCTGGCTCCATGCTTTGAGAGCCTTCTGTCGCCAGCTCCGGTGCAGTCTCTCCAGGGGGCTGCTGCCTACGCTTGGGGGAGCGGGTCTGGCTCTGGCGGCTTTCAGCTCCGGCTCTAAGCTCTTGCATCACATGCTCGGAAGACTCTTCTGCTGGCTGCACGTTCTTCAAAGGGCTGGCTTGCGGTGCGTCCCGAGCTGTATGGCTCTGCTGGGCTTCGGGGCTTTGCACTGGTGCCATTGCGGACACTTCTGCTCCGTCGTGCTGGGATTTGCTTCGCTCAGCGGGTACCTGAGTCAGCTTAGAATTGAGGGCCTCGTCAACAAGCCTCGTGTGTCTGAGCTCAGCACGCTATTTTTGGCAACTTTAAGCTTCTGAACGATGTCCGCCTTTCATTACGAGCTCTACAAGATGCTCTGACTCCATCCATGTTCTACCAGTGACACCTCGTTTGAACAAGTCATGCTCGCACTGAGACTACACATATTTACACATCGAGTCGGAAGGCGACGAAGGAACGTCTAGGCTGTCTCCCGCCGTGTTCCAGGTACCATGTCACATCGCACAGCCCATGCGACTGCTGCGGCTGCTGGCATGCAATTCGCCTTGTCAAAGCAGCCTCTCAGATCCACACCTGGTTGAGTCTGCTAGGGTCGAAGTGTCTCTGGCTAGGTCTGCCTTGGCGTGGCGATGTAAGATGTTCGAGCCTAACAGTACACCCTCTCGGCGAAGCTCACGCATAGTTTTGGCCTAGACGAGACACGCATTGCCATCCACTCACTGGGCCAACTAAAGGAACGCTGCCTGCCAATCGATAGTCGGGTCGGGGTCAGAAGAACCATCCTGGCATGAGTTGACGTCTGCTGGCATGCACTGATTTCAGCATCTGCTCGGCCATGGTTCTCGTTGACAATGTCCTCGTGTCTGGAACCGCTCATGTTGACGTCGTGGCAGGATGGCCTCAACAGCTTCCAAGTGTGGTGGAACGTGTCTGGAACAGGGCATCTGTTTCCCTGCCAGCAGACCATGTTGGGATGGCCACTCGCGACATTAATACCACGGTATTCAACATCGGCACTGATCAAGGCAACACCCTGTGATCGAACATCACTGAGAACAGAGACAGAGATGTCCTAAGTCAGGTGCTCGCGCAACTTCTCCTCTCGCACATCTTTTTCTGCACTCGCCGCACGGAGCCTTGCAGGACTGGTTTACGTGCTTACTGCGCATTTGCAATGCAGTCATGCAGGAATTTGATGCGAGTCTGGAACCTTTGGAGTATGCCTTCTTTCTCGAAGCAGCCAGTCAAGTCGATGCCCCTCGACCTGGGTTAAGTGCACGTGCTACAATAGTCAGCCTGCTCCAAAGATCTGCAAAGGCAGCACATGCCGCCCATACAACTTACAACTGCAGGCGGTGAAGCCGTGGTTTGAGGATGCAGCACACACTCTTGCCGAAGTTGGCGAACTGTCCAGGACGTCCAGACCTCACCTCTAGCTGCTACCGGCGGTTTATGTAGTCTGCTGGGACCTTTTCCTCCCGAGCGATCTCAGGAACAAACCGGATGAGGCAGGCATTGTCCCGCTAGCGTGCCCACGCAAGCCATCCAACGTGCGTTGTGGCTACGACAATGTGCATACCCAGAAACTCAGTCAACTGTCTCCACGCTGGGTGGCTAATACAAGATAGCAGTTTACCTACTCTGTATGAGTAAGATGTGTTCGGAGCTTCAAAATGCCACATTGACATTGTTTCCTGCATGGTGCCATGGGAGGGTCCCTGTCCAAAGGCTTTCACTTCGTGCTGGAGTGCTGAATAAAGCTTCATAAACCCTCTGGCCCCGGCCTGTTTGAGCCCGTGGGATGGACGATTAGGAACTGGCACTCAAAGGAGCGTTGCGACCGACATGCGGTTTGTGCTTCCTCCGTGCACGAATACATCCTATTTCGTTAAGGCAGCCGCAATTTGCACGGTTTCTAGCAGGCGCATGCGCTTTGGCAGTAAAGGGGCCAGTACGGGCCAGCCGCAGCGCGGAGTGGCACACGAGCACGAAACAGGTTGTGGACGGGCTCGCTACCTCGGAGGCTGGAGCCAGCCTCAGTTGCACATCAAGTGTGACATGACTAGCACAGTAGCTAGCACTACTCCCGAAGCTGCACCTTTCAACATCCGTGCGCCACATCATGAGAACTTCTTCCGCTTCAATCTGCAGCACAGAGTTAGCTAAGATTTCGACCCCATGCGTTGGAGTCTTCTCTGCCGGCCTGCAGCGCTTGGCTCTTCTTCCGACCACACATGTGCAGATACCTCTGCACTAATCCGAGGATGTGAATGAAAACGGGTCCCAGATTCAAAGAAATGTATTTCGGCCGGATTTGGGTCTGGAAGACTGCTCTCAATTGCGGCAGGATTTCGTATGGGGATAAGGGACTACACTTAAAGAAAAACATAGTTCGGGGAGCTTCAAAAAATAGCTTGCTGCTTTAACACAGAATCAATGCTGCTTTCCGAAGCAGGCCTTGCCCTTCAGCAGAGGCAGAGGCCTCCTTCGGGAGCCAAGCTTTTTCCAAAGCTGAGGCCCTTCAGAAAGCCAGGCTTTCATATTAAAGGCCTTACAAAAGGAAGCTATTTTTGAGTCTTTCCTAAGCTACACCTTATGGGGCCTGCCGGGCAGCAGCCCGAAGCAGATTTATAACAGGGGCCACATTTACGGCAAGCCCTGGGCAAGCCTGCGGGCCGGGCCCGGCTGGAGATTCAATCCTTTGCTATTATATTTAATGGAGCCCGAGGGGCCGGGATGAGCCAACAAAGATTCCAGTAATGCGGTTCCCGCGATCCTTATTCTGGGGGCGAGGCGGGGGACCCCCCCCCTACTAAACTTAGATGCTCGGATTGACGGGGAACCATGCCGTCAGCGAACTCTTGCCACCCCTTTTCTGCAAGGGATGCGAATTTGCCAGACATGCGTGAGTTCCAGCCAGTCCCTCCTTCTGTTCGAACACCTTGCTTTAGCAAGGGGCCGTCTGCAAAGTAAAGGCTGGCAAACAGCAAGGAAAAAGGAACGGGCCAGCACCTACCAAACAAAGGTCCCATACAGCCACACTTGTGTTTATCTACTAATTATTAATTCTACTATAAATTTACGACACCAGGCATGAGCCCAGCGCCTTCGTTCGGAAAGGCGCTGACTTGCCAGCAGCTGGAAGATAGCTTACAGTGCAAAGCTTCTCTGCTTCGCAGACTCGAAAGTGTAGCCACCTCATGCCGGAAACGCGACAGCAAGCTGATCATCCACCAACTTGCATGTACGAATTTTTAAAGTCGAGGTTGGTCTAGGCGAATGTTTCGTTGCGGCTCCGCCTCAAGTTGCCCTTGCAGGCGGTGGCTTGTCACATGCAATGCAGCCGATCATCTTCAAAGCCTTCGGTGTACTCTGTGTACGGCAAACTGCACCGGCAGGAACTGAATAACGACCACCTGGAGAAGCTCCAGCATCAGCAATCACCGGCAGCACTTTACATGCACAACATACACAATGTACACAGCAGTGCATGTACTGAGCGCAGCGTCGGCCACTAACAAACCAGTGCCTCTCAAAGTCTACGCTGCGTTCGCGATCTGGTTGAGCTCTCACGAAAACGTGCTCGTCCAGGCGTGACCTGCCCTGCAGACGAAAGTTGCGCCAGAACAGTAAGAAAGACTTTGAATCGATGGCAAAGGCAGCAGCCAGCCTCGGAACCGGCAGTAGTGGATGACATGTCCGTCCCGGGCGTGTATGCATCCTCTGTCTCAAGCATCTTCGTGGCTGCCTGCAGCAGCTAGTGATGACGCGATGCCCTATTGCGGACGTGTTGCGATTAGCGGATTGGTTCCCCTGCCAACGATTGCCAACGTGTCATGCTCAGCACTGCCCTTCGGACTCTACTGCTCTCTGCTCAATCGTAACGGCCTCCTCCATCTCATTTCTGGTCCTGTCCGGGTGTGTCCGGCACATTGACTTCATGACTTCTGAATCTTTCCCCGATGGTCTAAATGAAAGGTCGAGCCGCGAAGCATCCTCCACCTGGCAGGTTGCAATGCTATTGATGGATTGATGCAACAGTAATTTGCAACATGGATGGCCTCAGTGTGGAGAACAGGAGCCCGAGCTTGCTCAACCAGCAGCCCAGTGGGTTGGGCGCTACGAGCTTTCACCTCGTGGTCAAAAGAGGGATGGCGTCCGGAGCATGTCATTACACGCACATGAACTACTGGTAGCAAGTAAACAAAAAGTAATAAGTACATAGAAAGTAATCAATAAACGCCAGCTTAGATGTGGGTGTGTATAATTGCGCATATGTACAGAGAGAGAGAGAGAGAGAGAGAGAGAGAGAATCCATAAAGTGAACAATGCCACCTCGGCTTTCACTGCGGCGGCCTGAACCTGCTCTGCTTCCAGCAGCTTCCGTTCCTCATGCTGCAAACTGGCATGGGGACTCTGAGGGATGTCAGATCCAAACTAGCTTATGCGAGATCTGTTGAGGATCCTGCTCAATTTGGTTTTGAGCGAGATTTCTCGATGTGCTTCAATTTGGATTTCAACTGTATAATCGTTTCCCCCTGATATGAAACAGGGGGCCCCAATAACAACTCGGAAAGCATGTTTACTATCATTAGGGTGTATTTTTTATCTCTACTGCCACTTTTGAGGGGTCGTGCTCTGGCTTTTGCTCCTGATTCTGCTGCGTCTCTTGCACCATGTTGCACCTGCTCCTGCTCTTGCTTTTGCTCTTGCTGCTGCTCCGCTTTTGCTCTTGCTCTAACTCCTGCTCTTGCTCTTGCTTTTGCTCTTACTGTGCTCTAAAGGTCTTTAGAGCCCCGAAACCCTCCCCCCTAATTCAGAAATTCAGAATATAGGTTTTAAGGGCAGGGATGATTTCGGGAGGATTCGCCCCAATGTGTTGTTCTTGTTAGGGGGGGTGTTTAATAAAAAGGGGGAAGCGATTACTAGAAGTCCTGTGAACAAGCCTGGGGCGTTGCATTCTCGATCAACTCTGACATCGACGATGTTTGTGAAGGCGTGTGAAGGGCCCCCAGTAGCTGTCTTTGGACCCATCGGCCGAAGAAGCGCTGAATGGTTCCCGGTGCCCTCGCAGGCCTGATCTGGCCCACAGCCCTCCTTTGGACCCGAGAGGCTGGGTTTGGGTTTGGGCCGGAAGTGTTTTTAATGTTGCCGGCGCAAGCCAACGTGTGGCTTGTCGCCCGTTCATGCACACTCGTTGGGTTGTAGGGGCTACCTGTTGCTCGATGTGCCCGTCTTGTTTCACGGGCGAGGTTGACGGCTCTGTAGATCCCGTCCTTGCCGCGGTCGTTGTGACACACAAACGGCTCGGCCGTATGCTTTCGCAGCGTCATCCATTTTACTTTGGGACGCTTGTGAGGATTCGTTGCTATTCGCTAGGAATCCTTGTGTGTGACAACCAGTACGCTCCGCATGCTCGTTGGAACAATGTTTGAATGCCCCTGGGAACCGTTTTTGGAAAATGCACGACCGTCATCTGGCTGCCGGCTCTTCGTCGAACCCACGCTTCATCTGGCCCTAAACCTAGCAATCCGAACTGGTAGGAAGGTCCCAGTTGACTACTGCGGGATAGCATGCGGCGACATGACTGAATGAATGGAATGAGGAATGCAGCTTGAGCTTGAAACGCTGAACACAGCCAAATGCGAAGGCATTCGTATGAGCGAGAGCTGGTCATGAGTAACATGAGGCCACGCGGCAGCATCTGTTTCCACAGGTGGAAAGAGCTTCTGCGCCTCATAGAGAAGCATGAAGGGTTCCTCTCTCTGGACGTCGGAGAATGAGACGGATCTGATTTCGTCATCATCTGCCAAGTACCACTGTTCATGCTGACCTCGACCGGCCCTGACGAAAGCAAAGTAGTGGCCACCATTTGCCCCCATGGAGCGGTACACTATCATTGCAAAGAGCAGATAGCGAACCTTCCGACGTGCTTTTGCCGGGTTTCCATCGTATTGTATGGTGAGATCTTTGTCGACTATGACTTGTGGGGTCCATCCTTGCTGAAGCCGACTGATATGAACCAGCAATATGTTTGGAGGCCGGGCAATGCCCGCCTGCCTCACACACCCCTTGCGAGAACACTTTTCACACTTCCATTCGCTGATGTGCTCTTCCGTGGTGTAGCTCAGCAGGAGGTCCTTGACGTCTACAACGTTCTTTCGGTCTCGCGTTCTCATTCCCTCGCCAAATGACGGGCAGGTAACGCAGAAGCAATATTCCGCTCGGCTGGCGGAGGACATGTCATTACAAGTCTTGCACCTCACGGACCTCAGATGACTGAAAACACGCACTCTCCGGATCGCTAACGGCTAACGGCATCGCCAACCTTCACTGCCAGGCTGAGGCCAGGTCTGATTCAACATCATTCCGAAGATGTGACCTCCAAAACTTTGCGCTTCCCAGCGGGAGGAGACGTTCCAGACGCATGTCTAGGAGTCCAGCCTATCAGGCTGCTTTGCTCTAGCTGCTCCTTCTCTGAAATGGAAAGACCTTCCAGTCTCTTCACTTGTCTGCGCATGTCTACTTCAGACCCTCTAATTGTGCATAAGGTGCAAGCATTAGGCGGCTCTACCGCTTCAGCTAGATGAAACTTCGGACGGCAGCCGGAATCAGGACGACTGTCTTTCGCTTCCAGCGTCAAGATGTCAAGTTTCCATAACATCCTCCTTCATTCTTTCAGTGGCTCTCAAGGCCTCTTGCCCATGCTATTGATATTACACTCTCGCAACTCGGCAACTCGGACTGCGCTAGACGCGGTCTCTTTGTTGGACTGCTATTGATATTAAGGTTTCGAGCCCCCGTTTGCATCGATGCCAAAGCATGCTGCGTGCAAAGGCGGAGTGAACATGTCTGCGACTTGTCTACTGCAGCAATCACGAACACCGCGAACACCGGCCTTTCGCAGAGATGCAGCCTTCCAGCAGCTTGGAGATTATTAATACGAATGCCTCATGGGCATCTGCTTGTTCGCCGTGTTGAAACTCGCCTGCCCGATCGGACTCTTGGAGCTGACACATGAATCAAAGTGTAAAGGTTCGGACAACATGCGCGCGCACACACACACACACACCAGGCTTGAACGTCGGCTTTTGCAGAGAGGCACCATTTGTTGATGCTGACTGCATCAACGACGCCATCTGAGTCGCCGCCACACAAGCTTTCGAGGAGCGTGCTGAATCAAGTTCTTTGAAAAGTTGGCGCAACGCCACTAGCCACTCGTCCTTCACCACGGCACCTTTCTCGAAGACAAGCGAAACTGTGAGAGCTTGATGCTGCAAGTGCTTCTGTCTGAGTGGGCGACTTTCAAAAGCAAGGGCAAGGCTTCTCCGCAGCATTGGGGTATAGTATAGACATTGTAGGATTGCATTCAAAAAACAGACATTTCGAACATTTCGTAGGCCGACAGGAACGAGGTTGACCTGCGAGGGCAGACGAAAACGGCCATCGGCGCACATCTCGAGCTAAGTGCTGGGCAGCTTCCGGAGCCGTGTCATCGAGCCGATTATGTGCCAACCATTCCTGAAAGCCAGCCATGGCCAGAAAGACTGCGCACCTTCTAGCCAAGGGCTCATTGCGTGAAGGCATTATCCCGCCTTGTACACTCGACCACAGAGTGCCGTCTCACCGGGGATGACCCTTGCGAGAAAGCACGACATATCACGATATATGCTTTCAGATCATGTCTACAGTTCATCCCTGTGCAAAGCAGCCCAGGTGCAAATTGCCCATGATGGCACATCAGTTGAGAAGGCTTACATATGCAGCAGCAAAACCCTATGTGCTCTGTACTCACGCGAATCGATAGTAATTACTCAGCGCAGGCGGATAAACTTCTTACAGTGGAGCAACCATGAACAACAACGCAACCTTTGCGCATGTCTCGCTGCTTCGAGCCGATGCCACCATCGATGCTGTGGCCCCAGCACAGAAAAGGATGCGAATGCGGCAGGCTCGAACTGCTACGTTCGTGACGTACTTGAGTTGGGTATGAATGAGAGCTGCAGGATAAGGCCAGCACAAAACGACTTTGTGGGAGCTGAGTCGGCTTCTGCTTCGCTTTTGGCTTCGGCTGTTCTTGCGGCTTCCTTGCCGCACCTCGCCGCATGGCGTAGCCATGGAGATTTGCCATTTCCTTTGATCCACTACAGCGCCAAGGCCTGCTGGTGCGGTCTGTGACGTGGCGGGGGGCACGACAGGGCCGGTGGAACCTCAACTGCCCAGAGTCGCAGACCTGGATTCTAACGGTCGCGGAGCCTGGAAAGCGCAAAGGCCCGGGCTTCGTTCGTAGCGCACAAGGGACAATCGATTGCGAGCTGCCTTTCTTGGACCCGGCAAACTGCCCAGTCGGAGTCCCAGCGATGACTTGCCTGCAGCTTTGCTTGGATGGCGGCAGATCTGGCTTGCCGCTCCTCGCAGGGCGAAGTGGAACGCCGCTCAACAAAAGCAAGACTGAGGCTGCAATCCACACGCTGCAGTCGCTTTTGCCCGTCCTCGTACGAGTTCGCACCCTCCTGTTTCTCTTCCACAAAATCATTGAAAGGCCTCGAAGGCATCACTGTGAGGGCCCGTGGAAGCGCACGAGCCACGTGTCTGAAGGCTTGCCGAGTGCTTGGGCTTGAGTGCACTTTCAGAATTGATCGTGTTGCCGAAGTTGCAGTCGGGCCTCGCACAGGGCACCGTAGTAAGTTGCAACAGAGACATGCAGTACGCCCGAGAGATGGGCCGTCGGGTCTTCGCCACTCGTAAGACTTTGGTAGCTGATTGCGTTGCATCAGGGGGCAGCTCGTCCTCGATGTGACCAAGTGAAAAGCCCTAGCCTCCGAGCCGCATTAGGGCTGATCTGCTACTGGCTTCTTGGTGCGTCCTCCATGTTTTCGACTTCGCCCAGTTCTTCATAGTTCTGCCTCTGCTCTTTGAGCCACTCGCATGCACAGCGCTTACGAGAAGGGGGGCTGCACTGGGCCTCACTTGGACGGCATCCGTTTGAGCCAGTTCTCGCTCTTCATCGGCTGCAAGAACACCCAGCCTGCTCCAGTTTGCCGCTTCCCCCGGCGAGGACAAAGCTGGAAGCTGGAAGGCTCGGGCACAGTGTCCAAGTCCGCAGGCTCAGCTCCAGATGCCCAGCCTTCCACTGACATTTTCTCCGGACCAACCCCTAGCTTTTCCTACATGGAGAAAGACATGAAGATGAGTACAGATATGGAACATAAAACGTGCACATACATGCACACAGACATCCCCCCCACCCAAACACGCTTGTCCAGTTTATGAGGTAAACAAAGGTTGTACGTGTAGGTGTACATATAGATTTGTGTGTATAGTATACACTGATATATACATGTATGCACACACATATGTGCATGCATGCATGCTACATGCGCATAGTATATACATATATATATATATGTGTGTGGGTGTGTATGTATGCATGCATGCATGCATGTATAGATGTATAGATGTATGTATGTATGTATGTAGGTATAAACATAAATATATAAATGTATATATGTATATATTTATAAACTACTTATTTCATGTGTGTGTATGTATATGTGCGTATACGCGGGTGTGGGTGTGGAGGTGTACATGTACACGTGTGTGTACATGTTCGTGTATCAGTATAAATATCCGCATGTGCATGTTTGTGTAGCATACCCATATGTGTGCATACTGTATACAGGTACATATACAATACATGCAAGCCTACATGTGGGCATTGTGTCCACTATCCATCATCCAGGCTGGCAGGCCTTCCCGCTGCTGTCTGTCGATATCCGCGAGCACATCATCGATGGAGACGGGCTGTCAGAACGCGAAGGTGCAAAGTAGCCAACGGCCGCTACCGCTACAAGTAACTTAACTGTCTTGCAGACATGATCCGTGCGGATCGCCATGACCGCCCTTCTGCCTCTGGCTGCTTCCGTTCATCCTCCGGCACAGGCCTCTGATCCACGACCTCGTGCAGCTATCTCACTCATGCCACCTAACTATGGAGGTATTCGCGGCACCTCGAAGGGGTCTGCCTGATGAGCGTCGTCGGCTGCGTGATCTGCACAGTGGGAGCACATGCAGAGAGCTTTAGCTGGGCCGTGGCGCTGCGATGATGGCTTCAGATCAAAAGCCGTGGCCTTCGGCAGCATCACTCTCCTGTGCTCTCAGCCAATCGGAACACAGTTCCTTCTCTCGAACGAGTCACGTTGGAAATGGCACGACGATGCTGGAAAGCTGATACTTTGTTGCGCTTTGACGCTTCATGTTGTCTTATTGGGTGGCTCCATCTTCTTGGTACCTGTTGTGTCGTACACAATCTCCTTTCCCTTCCTGTATCTCGTCTCTCTCTGACTCTGGGCTCGGCTGCATTCGACCAACATAACAAGCATGCATCTTGGCCAACTTGTCGCCTCCCATCGCCTCCCTGTAGTGTTGGCAGGCCCAACGATCAAAAGTCCCTGAGACTGACACAGTGCCCTTACATTCGGGCCATCCTTGAACCTGATCACCTTACCTTGAACTGCCTGCTGGAATCGTGAAGCTTTTGCGCCTTCGAGCTAGGCTGTAGCATTCCACACCATACCGGCTCGTTCAGAGCGCGACGCAGGGTCCTCTTCTTCCGTTGGTCCCTTCACTACCTGGTAGAACTCGACAGCGACTGCTGACCGATACAAAGAGCTGGCACACACACTCAACGCGCACCTCAAAATTAGGCGCGCCCACATCTGCCTGTCCACCGGCTGGCAGCCAATCCAGTCCTGAGCAGCGAAATCAAGAGACGAGCAAGCACGACCGCGAAAGACGCAGTTATTGCATCCGTCTTGGTCCAGAACTGACCCAGCCACTGGGGCCTAAAGCGTAACCTGCATCAAGTATCACCGGCGGTAGTGCTGTTGCAAGGCTCTGGTTTTGACTTGGTGGCATCGAGGGGCGGACCACTTTCTGCCATTCGCCGAATCTTTTCCGACATCTTTGCTGCTTCAACTTAGCCGTGCAGGTGAGCTTCTATCAACTTTGGTGCTGCCCTGAACTTGCCAAGACTGTCAAACCTGTACGTGCTGGAGTCGCATCTAGAGCCGACCACCGATTACCTCGGCTCCCTACTGCGCAACCTCTCCTCTTTCCGTCGATCCTCACGCATCGATTCTGCTTCGGTTTCGGGTGAGTGACCATGTCCACGCATCACGCCTTCTCCTCTCGGCGCTTTCTCTGCTCCTCCTGTCATAACTTGAGCTTAACTCGGCCTCGGAGTTTCATGCGGAAGTCCTCCTTTTGCATCCTCCGCTTGGACGATTGCTTCCTGATGAAACAAAGTGCACGGGTGATTCAGCAAAGAACCTTCCAGCAAACTGCAATACATACTCTGCCAGCCTAGGTTGAGACACTTTCCTGAGGAGTCTGCCCGACCATTCGTCGCATTTTTTCCTCCAGCTCGAGGGCATGTCCTTCAGCCCCGAGGCGAGGCAACTACAGACTTCCGCAAAGGATGCATAAGTTCAGACCACGGCGATTTGCCCTTTGACGGCGCTCCTGCCGACTTGTCCACTGGTCAGACTGTGAATATTCGTTGGCTATAGGTGAACGTCGCACGAGCATGGGGAAACAAGAAGTTCGGATTAAGCCGCACTGGACTTGCCCACAACCACAGTCGGGACTTCTGTCCATGACGCATGCCGTACATCTGCAATCGAATCAGTAATTAAGTTCCACCTCAGACTCTTCAGCCGCCATACGATGCCGCTCCCACCTCAGTCTGGAAGTTTCAGCGAAAGGCTCTGCTGAATGCATGTGATTTCGGACACTGCTCCTTGTGTTGGTTCTGACTGGGACACCACACGCTTCACGGGCGGCTTCTACGCGCCGAACTTCATCCTGACAAAAAGGCGGCATCCCGCCTTCATGCCTACACCTCTCTGCATGCGATCGAGTCCTCCGCAGCTTTCTGAGCGGCTTCATGCCTGGCTTGCCTGAGTTCAGCAAATCGTGCAAAAAGAAGCAGCTGCAAGAATTAGACGTTTAAACGCCTTTGTCTCTCCTCAAAAGCGGCCGCTTCTGCCTGCAGAGACCCAACCAAATCGAAGCTCCAAAGTGTCGTTGCGCAGTGGCCGTGCTCGCCTGCGCCCTCTGCCGTTCTGTGTCCATTACGTCCCCATCCAATTGCGAGAGCAGCTCCTGGTTGCACATTGCATCGAGCTTCCAGCGTACGCTTTGTGCCTTGAGACACCGGCAGAGAAGCGGGGCAAAGCTTCCGGCTCCTCATGGCGAGGGCTGTTTGGCTATGTGTGCAGACGAAGGTTGTTTGCTGCCCCATCACTCTCATGATGAGGATGATTCGATGCGATCGAGAAAATCGGGGTGCAAAAGGTGGGCACATTAGCCCACATATTAGCAAGGTGACTTTCAACCTGAATCTGAACAAGCTTGAACAGCCTCAGCTTGGTTGACTACACGTGCTTTCGGTTGACGTGGAAATTAGATAAAGTAGGCTGGCTCGAAACTGGAAATCATAAGTTCTCGAAGTGAATCGGGTGAAGCACGCTGCAGTGGCAGGGATGAGCATGAAGCATGCTGGCACGCTACGAACCAGACATATCAGCTGCAACAGCCGTAGCATGCGCAGCTGCAGCACAGCTGGAGTAATTATGTGTTCATGAGTGTGAAAGGAGCTGATGTGGCAAGCAATGAGGGCGTATGGCTGCACGATGAAGCGAGCGCACAAGCTCATCAGCGCAAAATGAAACTTCCAGTGAGCGCGCTTTCAGCAGAGCACTTGGTAGGGCAAGTGTGTGCATGTGTGTCGCGGCCGTGACAAGTCCACTACCACACTACTAGCATGCTACAATCACTCAAGGCTTCTTGAAGCTGCGAGACTGACGATCCTCGTCTTCTAACTTTCCTGACATGCACTGCCGCTCTGCGGTGGCCTGCGCTTGTTGACCAGAGGTCGCCGTCAAGCTCGTGTGAGGACTCCGGTCGTCGTCAGTGGATTCGTCGCCGCAGCTCGGCCCGTATCTGATAGCAGTGACGGTGCCAGCACCGTCTCCTGTAGCATCCAACTTGCTGGGCCTGGGCTCTACGTGCTGGGGCTGCGCTGCCGCGAAGCAATTGTGGCATTCATCCGTAATGCTGGGGAGTGAACTTTGCATCAGAAGTGCTGCCCGCGAATTGCGAGAAGCGGCCGCCCCTGTGTGGTGCTCAATGGTCAAGAAGGGCAGACTTGTTCGGCTTTCCTGGAAGCTGGCCTTCTTTTCCCACCTGGCACACATTCTGCCATTGTCTGTTTCGCATGTCTCCCTGATGCTGAGGCGAAAGCTAGGCACGCTTCCACCCTGTACACATCCTTGTGCGACAGCATCCTGAAAGCTTGACTGGCATTCCTCGCACACGAGGAAAGGGGTGAATGAATTCCGGATCCTCTGCAGGCACCTTCGTTCGAGTCTCGGTGGTCTCCTAGCATTTCAGCTGGGTGGTTTGCATTGGTTTGATTGCAGTGCTGAGCACCAGGCAGGCTGCGTGCATTCGGTCTCCAGCTCTTCTTGCCTGTCCAGCTCGGCCTCGGCTCGGCGGCGCGGCGGCTCGCTCTTATTCGGGCGCTCTGCTGACCGTGGCCTCCCGCCCTGGCCCTGGGGCAACGGCAAGCAAGTCTTCCAAGCTTGGCACGGCCATCCTGAGGTAACTGCCACTCCACTGCCTTGCAACTGCCGACTTAGGCCAGCACACCTAGGGAATCAGGTGCGTGACATGCCAAAGGCGGGCGGCTCGCAAGTCTTAAGTCTAGTTTATGCGCTGGTGTTCCCTTGTCTCTTGCTTTTTGGCTGCTTGCTGGTGCTTCAAGCTCTACTCCTGGGTCCCTGTCTGATGTCCTGGCTCATGATAGGAGCAGACCCTCTGGTCGGGCCGGCTGAATGCTGTCCGAAGCCTGCGATGGCAGGACTCGATGCAAGCCGTCCAAGGTCATCCTGGTTAACATGTCACACGAGCGAGGGTAGAGACAATACATCGAACTTCATCAAACGGTGATTTTGTGCTCTGGTTCATGAGGTGCAGCAGGAACACATACGACTTCGTATCCTTTGGATGGTCGTCGTGAACATGGCCAGCAGGCAGGTCACTTTGGACCTTTCAGCCTCCAAGTCCTGTCAGATTCAGAGACCTCCGTCAGGTCATTTCTGCGCAGATGCGTTCTCTAGTAGCCCCAAACCCCAAACCAAGTGGAGAGCCACCTGGAACCGGTATCCAGCAAGTCAGGCGGGGGGTCAGCGCTGACTCCTTCCACAGCCGCATGTGTGCGCTGAGCACTAACAACAGTTGGAACCCTGCATTGCCTCCGGCGACATGTTCGCAGACTGTGCTGATGGAGGCAGCCTCGCTCTCATCAGCCACTGGCAAAAGCCAAATTCTGCATGCGATTGAACAGCAAGATGCAAGCATCTGCATCTGCAAACTGTGGCAGAAGCTCTGGCATAAAACCAGACAGCCGCGGAGTAAGCTGTACCTGCAGAGCCAGCTGTGACACTCCGTGGGATGCAGCCCAGTGTGGCAGCGCAGATATGAGGCGTCAGCACTTGGACGCCCTTCTGCTGACGGCCAACCTTCCAGACAGCGGCAAGGACAACTCCCTGGACACATTGCTGCTGCTGAAAGCCGTTGGTGCGACTGGTTGCATGGACTTCTACTTTCGTGCAGGTTGTGGAGCTCGATGCTGAGTGCTTGCCCGGGCAGTGCTTTAAGTATGTCTATGCAGTAACGAAGCTTACCAACTTATCAAAGCTATCACCTTGCCTGCAGAGACAGAGTCCGAGTGGGAGCAGCCACAGACGGAGAGGCTGTTCGCAGCTTGTGTTGGCAGCCAGGGCGGCTGTTGGATCGTTGTCCATGACCCCACGGCCACATCATGAGGGACTATGTCCTGCTGAGAGAAGCCAGCCACCTGAAGCGCTTGCACCTGCATCTGCGTTTCTGGGTCTGACAGAACAGGTCCGCTGAGGTCTTGCTCAACAAACTCGTGCAGGCTTGCATGAATCTGCGGCCTCTCCTGCCCCTGGTCCGTCTCAGCATGGGACGGCGGCATTTCGTCCACGCACATAGACCCATGCCACGCCTCTGATGCTTCCTGCTCAGCATCCGGGCTCAAAGCTGCAGGGGTCCAGTGTTGCTGCAACTGCTGCAACCCAGGTTGCGCATCAGTTGGAAATGCTCCTGCGTGTATCCCATGTGATGTTTCCGAGGCCTCCTCGAGTGCCGATTGCCGTGGCTGATGCATGTGGCTGTGCGCTTGGGCATGCGCTTCCGGCAGCTCGTTCTCGCCAGATGCATAGAGGCTCGTGTTTTGGAGATATCCTTGCGCTTGCACAAGTTGCGATGGTTTGGCATCGGGTTCAAAGAGGATTTCTCCGACATTGGCAGATTCATGCATTCCTTCCAAATCTTCCCATATCTGCTCCGGTTCGAATTCGGCGCTTGGGTTGTGGTTGCCCGGCAGCTCTGCTTCAATCTGCTCAGACTGTGCAGGGCGTGCGTCATGGCCAGCTGCAAGCGTGCCGTCGGCTTGCTGGGATTGATGCTCTGCTTCCAAGCCTGGCCCCTCGACGTGCAGGAACAGACCTTGGATACACTGGTCTGTGCCCATCTGCTCTGATTCCGTTGGTGCAAAGTAGCCCTGGGGCTCTCCATTCATCGGCTCTGACTGCACAGGGTGAGCGGCGGCATCAAGTGTTCCGTCAAGATACGCCGCATCTGCGATTTCAACAGGCAGGTTGTTCCAGGATTCTCCTTCTATCTGGTCCGCCTGTGCCGCAGTTGCATCATCTCCGGTCTCAGGTTTGTCGTCCACTTGCCCCGATTCCTGAGATTCGAAGACGGTTTGGCTAGACTGAGGTTCCACCTCCACTTGAACCGGCTGAGCTGGGTCACTTTGGTTCTGGGTTTCTCCGTGGCCCGTTTGCTCTTGCTGCGGCAGGTTTGGAGCGGCCTCAACATGTATAGATCCATGTGATGCTGCCGAGACCTCGCCCTCCAATTCGGCGCTTGGGTTGTGGTTGCCTGGCAGCTCTGCTTCAATCTGCTCAGACTGTGCAGGGCGTGCGTCATGGCCAGCTGCAAGCGTGCCGTCGGCTTGCTGGGATTGATGCTCTGCTTCCAAGCCTGGCCCCTCGACGTGCAGGAACAGACCTTGGATACACTGGTCTGTGCCCATCTGCTCTGATTCCGTTGGTGCAAAGTAGCCCTGGGGCTCTCCATTCATCGGCTCTGACTGCACAGGGTGAGCGGCGGCATCAAGTGTTCCGTCAAGATACGCCGCATCTGCGATTTCAACAGGCAGGTTGTTCCAGGATTCTCCTTCTATCTGGTCCGCCTGTGCCGCAGTTGTATGGCTACCTGTACCATGGCTCTGGGGTGGTTCTTGCATCTCCTCTGTCTCAGTTGTGGCCATGCTCTCCCGCCCAGCCGGCAGTGGCTGAGTCTCATCGTAACTGTGGGAAATCCCTGTGGAATCTGCGGAATTCGTGGACAGGGCGTGCATTAGCTGCGCACAATCGAGATCCACACGTCCATGGGCGCCAACGGCACAGTTTCCTTGGCTTCCGTTCTCCGTTTGACTCACCTTGAAGACAGCATGAAAAACGGGCATGAACGGGCATTGTGCCGCCACTGAACACCAGGCCTGTGCTTCAGCAAGTCGGGCAGCTGCAAACGCGTAAACATCTGCCGGAGGCTGAGCACTTGCCTGTGAAGACAGCAGCTCAGAGCGTTTTGTCGCTTCGCGATCCTCCGCGCCTCTGTCAACATGTCGAGCAAGAATTTGTCAAGTCGGTGCTTTGCCAAGTATTCTCGAGCAAACTCCTGCGCGCATGCATATTGAAGGCCAGAGTGGGCAGGGGACAGCAACGAAGCACGAAGGGTTCTTGTAAGCCGACAGCAAGAGGATCTAAGTTTCAAGTCTAGGCGGGTCGTGGTGAGTGCATCGTATGTAAAGAGGACTCGAGCTTGGCTTCGGGTTTGGGCTCAAGCTGCTCACTTCTGTAACGGCACCTTCGAAGGCTCGAGTTTCGGTTGCAGCTGATCATTGCCTACTCTCCGGCCTGGGTGAAAAGAAGCCGAGACAAGCCGGTAATAATATCATGCGTCATCGAGGGTGCAAGCCTTGGGCCCTGCATAGCCATCGAGCCGACGAGAACCGGAGAGTTGCCACAACAGTTCTTGCGAAGAAAGCGCAGTTGTCGGCCAAGAGTGTTGGGACTTGGACCCGTGCATGCTCTGACACTACGTATTGCGGTTAAAACCACACAAACCCTTCGCCAAACCAAACGTGCTGAGCTCAGCACTACTGCTGCAGTCAAATGCACCTCCACAAGGCACACGATGCAAACGAACCGGAGCAGAAGCGCATCCCGGGCCCCTGACTGGATCGTCCCATGCAAGGCACTGTGGCCAGCAGTCTGAGGCTCGACTTTGCTCCGCCTGCACGCTGCTTCCTCTCACAGCGCTTTTCCCGCTAGCCGAACGAGCCTCGTCCCTGTTTGGGAGCTTCGAGATTCCCCGCTCTATCACGACAACCACTTCAGCATCATCATGACCTTTGCGGACTCCAGGCACAAATCAAAATTACGCCAACCCTGTATGCAGACGGGGTATGACTTCAGATCCGGACGGAGAGTCAGCTGTCTCGTCTGGGGCAAGGCATCTGACATACCTCCCATGCTTCATCCATGAGATTCGAACACGAGCTCGGCGCAAAGCGGCCTCGAATGACCACTTCATCACCACAAAGGGGCATCAGCAAATCAATCCGGAACGGATTCAGGCCTGTCGCGTGGCCAACGTCCAGCCAGCATGCAAGGCCAGACTGGACAGAAGAGTCAGCAAAGTTTGGGTGATGCTGTGACGGGCTTTAAGCCTGGGTCGGGGTGGCCCACGAGAAATAAACGCACAAACTACCTGACTTGCCGAAACGATCCTGCAGGACCCTCGGCAAAGTGCAGCTTCATCCCGCCCTCCGGAATGGCTCCGACCGGAAGCAGAACTTGCGCTTTCCAGGCCTCGGATCACTCGCACTCAATGGCTCTCGTCTCTCAGCTGACACAACTGCATTCGAGGTCTGAACCATAATTGAAAGAACTGCATCGCTTGGGGCACCGGTCACCTGTCAAGCAGGCACCAAACACACTCGGCCCCGTACAGAAAAAACCGTCCAGCCTTGTCCACAACGATCTGTGTCTGGGCTTGCCCTGCAAGAAAGGGCTCCTGAATTCTTGCATCCATGCTGGCTATCCCTCGTCGGGCAACGACCAACTGAGAATGTGGCGCTTTCTGTATCACCTCCACCAGTCAAGACATGAGGCATCTTCTACGTGAGGCTACCACAGGACAATCATGCCTGCAAGACCTGCGCAATCGGAACGGTCATGCTGAAAGTGCGAGGCCAGGGAGGCGAGCGGGTCCACTGGCCGCTCACGCAGGACCTTTCGCGGAGACGCGCTCACCCCCTCGTTCGCACACTGCTTTCAATGATACGAAACTTTCTGTGCTGGTTCTCATTCACAACCACATCCACCCAAAACTACCCAGACAAGCAGACAGGCAAGCAGAGTGTGTAACTCTGACCTGCAAAGCTTTGCAGGTACGTGGTGCCGGCGTCCCTCGTCCCTCTCAGACAAACCTCTAACTTCGTTGGCCGGAGTCCGGTCTGAGCTCCCAAGCACCTCTACCGCATGACACCAAAACGCGAACTGCATCCTTTGCACAGGTTCGCACAAAGTCAATCCCACAACATACATGACAGTGCAATGTTGCTGCGCCGAAGAGAAGCGCACGGTCCGGAGCAGGGCGGCAATCAGGTGTCGCAGCCTGTGGCTGCAACAATGATGCGGATGCAGTGTAGTTCTGAAATTGAAATCATTGCTACATTACAGATCATGAACAGTGCGAGGACGTAGGGGTGGTACTGCTCGACACTTTGGCTGCTCGGCATCGGTTGATGTGCACCTCCGACAAGGTGAATTGCGCTCGTGTCATACATGTGGCGAATCGCGTGTGGCACCTGATAGCATCAACGAAAAGGTGCAGCCAACACATCACTACCTCTCCCAAGGAAATGAACTTCCTTGCGCAACATGCCCGCCTCCGCGGCAAGACTTCACCTGCAAGATTCCCGATGAGTCCTAGATTCAGGAGAGATGGGCATGTCAGCACAAGGTCTCACCAAGGTTTGGACTAAAAGTGCTGTGTCTTTCGCACGATCTGTAGCTCAAAGTAGAAGCTGAGCTAGGATTCTGTTGTATAGTATTCATTAATTATGCCTCACTTCCTAATATATCTAAAATTGGGACCAGCACCAGCTATTGCAA